AGAGCTCACAGCTCAACTCTGCGTCTGCGTCTGCGTCTGCGTCTGCGTCTCTCCAACTCCAACTGATTTCTGTGTGTCGTCTACTCGCTGCGACTCTGTTTATATGGACGCCGACCAAAACCGGGTGTGGGCTTGTCGTGGTTTGGGGTTCCTTGATAATTCTAAATCCACAATAAGGATTTTCTTTGTTTGCGGACAGGAAAATTTATCACTTTCCATTTTTGGAAGTCCATTACTTTTTGCTTTAGATGGGTTCTTAAGGGTATCGTCCTCCCAAATTCTTCCTTTCTCATATTGGTATCTCAAACGAATCCCCTCAGAGTGCGTCAACAGGTTTCTCTTCTTTCTCATATGTTTACCTTCGCCTACCGCTCACGCCACCGTTCAGCCAATGAACGCTCAGCAGCGTGGGTGTTTGCAATTATCGCTCAAAGGAAAGAAAAAAATTATCTTCCTTTTTTTTTCTTTCTTTCTCTTCCCCGAGCAGACCTCCCACGACACGTAGTGTGGTCCCTAATCTCTATCTTAACCGAATGTCGTCTGGACTTTATCAACGAGATTTTTGCCAGCGTCAAGTGGGTGGTTAACTGGACTTATTCGCACTCTGTATCCAATTATCCATTCCGATAACAAACTTTTATCATGTCCAGGTTTGGACAATAAAACAGGTGGTCTCTTTCCAAAACAAATGATATCTTCGAAAGATAGTTAATGGTTTATTCTTTTCCTTTATCTTTTCCCTTCCCTTCTTTTTTTTCTTTGGCGGTGGTCTACTGATGCCATTCTCGGTCAGTGCATGACCTGATTAATATTATCTCCCAGCTTCTGTTTCGTAGGCCACTTGACCAATTTGAAATTTTCATTATTGCCATGGGCAGATGGCTATCTTTTATTCGCCGCATCGTAACATAAATTAATTCGACAGATCCGACATCTTATGAATTTCCTATCTTCTGCGAGAAAAAAATACTTTCCTTCGCAAATGAAAATAAAATCTTTACCACTTTTCTTTGTTAAAAAAAATAACATCGCTCAGTATATCTTTTCGTGATAGCTTCTTATCGCCTTAATTATTTCTCGCTTTTAATTTTCACATGACCGCTAAATAGTGTCACAGGTGTGTAGTTGAGTGAGTGCATGGGATGAATGACTGACTTATATTATTATAGTCCCGCATTAATTTCATCCACTGACCTGATTTTTCTGCCACGGTTAGAGATTGGGGGGGTATTACTAACACTATTTTGTTTTGTTTCTTGTATATATTTTTGTTCATTTTTGTAAATATTCATTGAGATTTAGATTTTTAAATTATTTTATCCCCTCACCGCAGACAATGAAATGGGGATTAGTTAGGACTTCATAGAGACCATGAGGTATTATGGTGGCTGTAGTAAGAAAGCTAAGTAAGAATGCGTTGTTTTGTTGTTAGGAATATTGTGGTATGTTTGGCTCAGTGTTTGTGGCTAGCAAAGTTTAAAGATTAAGACAGATAAAGATCGTCCTTTTTCCCTATTCCTCTTTTTGGCCTTGTGCCACATTTTGTATTTTTGCAAATAAATATCGCTATGTTACCTAGACTTTTTGAATTTAAGCGCAGTACTTGACTGGCGTCGAGATTTTATCAATTTAGTTGAGCTAGATAGATGTAACTGTAAGTTCTATGCTAACAGTTTCTTTTCTCGCACTTCTCGCTTGAGGAACGGCCTTCCGGCTTCAGGATCTTTCAGCCAACTTTTTCTGCAAAAATTTAAAGGCAATGTCAATCGCTACTATCTACTGTCCTCCTTTTTTCTCTTTCCGCTCATTATTAATGTTTTGGTTTCTAATTCTTCCACACCCAATAACCCCTTGTGTCTTAGTGGCTTTACTGCTTTGCATGGGGTGATACCAATTAAAAAAAATTAAAAAAAAAAAAATAGCAGTATGTCTTCCTTAGCGAAAATGGACCAAAATTCCTCAGTACATCTAAGAGTCAAAATACCTCCCTGAGCTGCAACTGCCGAAAAATATATTTCTTATATACAAAATGCAAAAATGGCTTCATGGGTAAAAAGACATCTCTAGCTATAAATGTAAAAATGTCCAAAGGTCGCATATAATGTTTAGCTATAAGAGGCCACAAGGTTTTCATTAGCTATAAAGTGAAAAAAATATTGCATAACTATTAACTTCTTTAATTTTATTGGGCAAACAGCCTTTCTTAGATTTACAGGGCAAAAGTATTCATTATTTATATAGCGCAAAAACTTCTTTCTTAGTTATCAACAACACATAACATTGCTTAGCCATGAAAGGCTAAAAGGTTTCCCTTATCTATAAAGGTCAAAGAGTAACTCTTACTTATAAAAACAAGCATGTCTTCCTTATGTATAAAGGGTAAAAAATATTTATTACTTATACAGGGCAAAAACTTCTTTCTTCGCTATCAGTAGCAAAATGCAACTCTTATCTAGGAAGAAGTAAAAAGTTATTCATTGCAATAGCGATAAAGATTAAACATGTTTTCCTTAGGTGTAAAAAGCAAAAAATATATATTTTACTTATACAGGGAAAAATGTATTTCTCAGCTATAAATATTAAAAAAAAATTTTCTTAGTTATGAAGAGCTACATGCCTTCCTTATATATAAATGCCAAAGACTATACAGGGAGTTCCAAAAATTTACTCACTTTTTAAATTGTTGTAACCTAGAAAAGGTTACTGAATGATGAATAACCAAAACGGAGATTAGAAATGAAATGGTAATCTTTATAACATCAACAAAATACAATACTCGCCAGCCGCGTGAAGTACGTAAACCACAGCTAGTGGTGGACTACTTATACAGCATATTACCCCCACTTACAATAGTATCCAACGTATTTATGAGGATTGGGGCATACCAATTAGTGTTCATAGGTACGGTATATAACACTTACTAAGAGTTCCAAAGGATAGGACGTTGTGGAGATTCATGATCATTTGATCTGACACTAGCACAGTAGAGACGTAGAGTTATGGCCTTGTTTCTATTTCTTGCTTTTTGCGTTATTTTCATTCACTTTCATTTCGACAAATTTTACTTACACCCCATTTCATCCGCTGCCCTATCGTTTATGACGGAAGAATACGCCAACTGCACTTCTGCAGACGGGTAAGACGCCACCGACGCCGATGAGTAGTCCCGCGTATGACGATAAACTACATCCGGCAGCAAAGTCTCTGATAGGTAGATTGGAAGTTTAGAGTAGCGTGTAGCCACCTCCTTATTGTTGTTTTTCTCAGCTCCACCTGCATCCAAGATGGGTCCCAGCTGTGACCAGGAACGTATAAAATACCTTTTTATTTAAAAAAAACTACCAATAATATATTTTTGTAATGAAATTACCAAGAATATATATCTATAGTATTTATAGTAAAATTACCAACAATAGGTTTTTATAGCTAAATGACCAGCAATACATTTTTAAAGAAAAATTACCAGCAATACATATTTATAGTAAAATGAAAATCAAAACATTTTGTAGAAAAATTGAAGATATTTTATAGTAAAATTGAAAAAAAAAACTTTTTTAAAAATCAATTTGCTATGATTAATCTCACTTCATGTAAAGAGAAACCATTTTTCATCCCGCGTTTGATTTTGTAAGATTATTTACTAAAAACAAATGCAGCTAATTAATTATAAATTTAGTTATGAAATAATGTCATTCTCTTGAATTAATTATAAAGTTTGAATGTTCATTTTTAGATTTCAGCATTAAATAACCCATAGAGGTTAATATGCCACTAAACAAAAACAACCAAACCAAAGCTTTTCATAGATATCTTCATTTTTTTTGTTTTTCACTTCCTTCTATTTTCGTCTTCTCATTTCCTTTCAGTCTACTCTTCCCTCCTTTTTGTGTCCCTCTTACTACACCTCCCGTCCACCCACTTCCATTTTCTTAATATTTTGCTTTATTTCCCATTTGTCGTTTTCCTCCTCCCTCTTTTACCTTCCTCCCCCTTCCTCGTTCATCTTATTCCTCCTTTAATCCCCTCTTTCGTTTTTCACCACCACTGATTTTGTCTTACTCCTCCTTTTCGTTTATACTTCTTTCCACTTCCCATTCCTCTAACTACACCCATTGTTTGCCTCCTTCCACTTTATTGATACGCCCCCTGTATTGCTTTTTTTTTTTCTCATTTTCCTCCTCCTTCCTCTTTCATAATTCTCTCCTCATTCTTCGTTAATCTTCATCTTCCTTCCTCCTTCCTTCAGCTTTAGCTTTCGTTCTCCTCCGAAGTTATCATCTATGATCCTGCTCCTCCTCCTCCTCCTCCTTCTATCTTGCCCCCTCCACCATTCATCCGCCTCTTCCTTCACCTCCCTTTTGCCACCCTTTATTATTGCTCCACGTTCTTTGCATTGTTTTTCATTTGTTCTCCTCCTCCTTCTCCTCTTCCTACAGAACCTATTAATTTTGTCTTTCTCTTTCATCTTTCTTCCACGTTTTGTTATCGTCTTCCATTTTTGTTCCATTTCTAATTCTCCTTCAATATTTATCAACGCCGCCTTCTCCACCCCCGCTTTTGTCTACTTTCTGCCCTTTTGCCTTCCTCTTCCTTCTGTTTTCTCTTCCTCTTCCCTCCCTTAACTCTATTTGTACTACTCCGTCGTTATCCACTTTACATTCCACTGTTTTATTGTTCCTCTTCCTCCACCTCCTACTCTTGCTGCTACCACATTACCCATCTTCATCTTGTACCACCACCTGCTCTTATGCTATCTTGTCCCCAAATTTCTTTCCCGTTTTCCTTCTTTCTTTTTTTTCCTCCTATTCTTAGTTTCATGATAAACGCTTTCCGGGGTTTTTTTGTTTTTTTTTGTTTTGTTTTTTTTTAGTGGGGGGGTCTTCTTTTTAAGTCGTCAGATGAAATCAAAATTTAGTAATAAAAAAAGAAATGGAGAAAAGAATCAGTATATGGGCGTTGACATTTTCGCTTGTCAATATGAAAAAAGCAAAAACTCAAACAGAGCAACGAAGAAAGAAAGAAAGAAAGAATGAAAGAAAGAAAGAAAGAAAAGAAAAATCCGGCTCTTTTTTGTTTTTGTTGTTGTTGTTTCTTCTTTTCTAAATTCCGGAACATTTTATACGAATTAAGGCGCATAATGAAATTTATTGTTCTCGAACGTTTCTTATTCTTCTTAATGACGTGGTTAAAAAGAATTCATCATAGTGAGTTTCTTTTCTTTTCTTTAATAGAAAAAAAAATAAACATCGGATAAGATTTAAGTAAGAATTTTCGTATACGATTGATTGCAGGAGGAAGTCTCGTCAAATTTCACCTGTTCACTAACTTTTCTGCTGCTTGCATCATTATCTTCTGCATTTATATAGATACATATATATTCGTATATCCACGCACACCTTTATCTATAAATGCAAATTATATACATATATGTATATATCTGTTTGATTATAATTCTATATGCGTAAGCAATTTCTCTCTCTCTCTCTCTCTCTCTCTCTCTCTCTCTCTCTCTCTGTGTCTGTGTGTGTGTGTGTGTCATACAAACACACACACACACATTTTCTACCGACATGAAGTGGGGTGATTATATTGTACCAATTGCTAGGTTAGCTACTAAGAAAATTTTGTAATATTATAGTTTTGTAATATTATCGGTCCTGATCTGGCATCTCGGTTACAGTCACTTTTCCCACCGCCATTAAGTGGCTCCTTGCTGTATTTTTTATAAATATTTCATGATAGTTATTCTAATGATCTCTCCGACTTCGATACATCGACCGCATAAATTTAAGCGTAGTACTAGATTGGCAACTAGGTCTCATGGTTTTACTGTTGAAATAGCAAAAAATGTAACCGCCACTTCTATTCTATGAGTTTCTTTTCTTGCACTTTTCTCTTGCGATTTCTTGCTTCCCTGCTATATACGATCTTCAAAAATTTCAATGCAATGCCAATCACCATCTTCTGTCTTCTTGAGTCCTGTTTCTTTATTGACCTTTCACCTCACTTTCTTCTCATTCTCTCTCACATCCAGTAACCCTTGCCTCTTAGTGGCATTATCGCCTTGCTTAGGGTGAAATATATTATATATATATATATATATATATATATATATATATATATATATGTGTGTGTGTGTGTGTGTGTGTGTGTGTGTGTGTTTATACATTCTTTTTATATAAACAAATATTGAAGTAAATGCTCTGTTTTTTTTTGTGTGTGTTTTTTTTATAATAAACAGTATTAAACAACATTTACCGGCCTGAATAATTTTCTCTGCTCGTATCCAAATGTAAACAAATGACGTCACACATTATGAAATGAACAGAGTCCGACAATTATTTTAGGACATTTTTATGTGTATACGTTCTTTTTATTGATACAAATATTTAAGTAAATGCTATGTTTTTAATAAACAGTATTAACGACATTTACCGGCCTGAATGTCCGAGAAATTTTCATTGAAAATATTCGTCCTCCGACAGGAATCGAATTGTAGTTTAAAAACAGTAAAACCGGCTCCTCTGTGGCTCAATTGGTAAAGCACGTCAGACTAATTGACGTTTTCCGGATATAGGTTCTAGGTTATATATATATATATATATATATATATATATTAAATGATGCAATATAAATAATATTATAAAGAAGTAATCATACAAAGAATATAATATTAATATAATTAATCGCGAATTCACTTCGCTAACAGATTTAATAAAGCATTAACTTACTAAGCACTCGTTGAATGGCACAATCCTTATGTTAGAAATTATAAGATTGGTTAGATGTTCTGTAGATGTTAGTACTTTCGAAAATCATCACATTTTCATCGTCAGGCATTAATTTTTTTTTTCATTTCAGGTTACTTCTAAGATGAAAATAAATGTATTGCAGGCCGAAAGATGTTTTTTAAGAGTATGCTATTTATTAACGGTTACATAATTTCGGATCGCGCGTTGTCGCAACACTAGATTTGCATTTTAAATATTTCAAGTGAAAACATTTTTTCAATATCGTAATATGACAAATCCACCATTTTTTTTTGTAAGTGTTTTCCAGTTTACGTGACATGGAATAAATGGTCCAGTCATTAGAGTAAGGTCTTGGTAGTTTTTCCAGAAATTTTATACTGCGTGTCATTCCTTATACAAATATTAAATGGTGTAGTTTATATAATATTATAAAGAAGAATTAATCAGTAAATTTAATGTAATTAATTCAATGATTAATTCTTTACTGATTAATTCTTTTTATGATTACTTCTTTACAATATTATATATATATATATATGTGTATATATATATGTGTGTGTGTGTATATATATATATATATATATATATATATATATATATATATATATATATATATTATGAAATGGACAAAGTCCGACAATTATTTAAGACATTTTTTATGTTTATACGTTCTTTTTACAGATACAAATATTTAGGTATTATCGACATTTACCGGCCTGAATGTAAGACAAATTTTCATAGAAAATATGCGTCCTTCTACAGGAATCGAACCTGTATCCTATACGGAACCGTCATATAGCCTGACGTGCCTTAACCGACAGGGCCACAGAGGAGCGTTCGGTCAGCAAGGCCGATTTTACTGTCTTTAAAAACAATTCTCCATGATTTTCTCTCATTCATTCATATCTGCTCAATGTGTATCCAAATGTAAACAAATGACGACATGCATTATGAAATGGACAAAGTCCGACAATTATTTTTTATATTTATACGTTCTTTTTATAGATACAATTATTTAAGTAAATGCTCTAGTTATACTATATATATATATATATATATATATATATATATATATATATATATATATATATATATTAAAAACATTGAGCCCTTATTGAGATATGGATATACTAGCTGAATTTTAATTTCGAAATTTGAGTGCAGAAGAGTTTTAATCATATGAACAGACGTCCTACGAATAGCGGATAGACGAGCCCATTTTCAACAATTACTGTTGGTCGATCGTCTTTCTACACAATTTTCCATATCGATACATATGAAACCACTATGCGATTAATGATCACCACTGACAAAGAAAGATATTATGTAAAAAAAAATATTTACTGTGTAAAACATCATTTTGAACGTTAGGCTTCACTTATGGATTCACGTTCGTGCGTTTACGAAAAAGCTCTTGGGTCGTTTTTAAGGTAAATTTGAGATGAAATACAATATGGAAAACTGTTTTTCCACGAAAACACTTGCACACACCGAATACACGCACATATTTAGATAGATAGATAGATAGATAGATAGATAGATAGATAAAAAAGAAATAAACTGTGATAGATAGATATTGCATATATATATATATATATATATATATATATATATATATATATATATATATATATATATCGAATGTAAAAGAACGAAACGAATATAAATTCAAACGTTCATAACATTAATTTAAAAAAAGGGGCCAATACAAGAGTAGTGCCATAAATATTTATTATAAATTGTTACATTGGAACATGCAAGTTAATTACCACCGATGTTAACCATCTGAAGATATGTCTTTGAGACGTCGAAAAAATATGCATTTTGTCGTGGTAACTTGCATGTTCCCCTATAGCAGTTTATTATATATATATATATATATATATATATATATATATATATATATATATATATATATATATATATATATATATATGGTGGTTGAGGTTGCTCCATATCTAAAACTATTTGCCAACGTCAGGTTTTCAATCAAATTTTAAAAAATCTATTTTAAAAATACACATATATATATATATATATATATATATATATATATATATATATATATATATTAAGAAATGGAAAAAGTCCGACAATTTATTTATTAAAGACATTTTTATGTTTAACGTTCTTTTTTATAGATACAATTCATAGAAAATATTCGTCCTTCATTCAGGCCGGTAAATGTTATTTAATACTGTTTATTATAAACAGAGCATTTACTTAAATATTTGTATCTATAAAAAATAACGTTAAACATAAAAATGTCTTTAATATATATATATATATATATATATATATATATATATATATATATATGCCCTTTGTGTATACACACACACACACACAGACACACACACATATATATATATATATATATATATATATATATATATATATATATATATTAATAAATAATCATCTTATTCCTCACCGTTCGTACAATTGGAAGTTTCATGCCCAAACCCATCTTCCCTTTAATTAATTGTTGATCCACTACCCTTCATTAGAAATAATGAAATAAAAATAATACTTATAAATAAATATAAGTCTTTTATGTTCATATGTTAATTACGTTTATTTTCATTGCCAAATATAATGTTTTCAGAATTATATTTTTTTAAAAATACAATTTTTAAAAAACTATATTCCCAATATATATACTTAACTGCACCAGCATTGCAGTAAACAGATTTATTTTTTAAACTCAATGTACGTAACAGTCAGTCTATATTCAGCACCTGAAGATTGCGTTTTGCATGAAACTCAGAGTCGTGCGAACGGTGAGCTATAATATGTATTTATTGATATATACTTAATAGCTCTGTTGTATTATATCGAATACTGTTTTATTAACACCATCCTTTATGTGGAATATATATAATTATATATAGAGAGAGAAAGAGAGTGACAGTGTGACAGCGAGAGAGAGAGAGATGATTTGGGATCAGATATATATCGAATATAAATCGAATTTGGATCAGAATCCGGTATAATGACAAGAAAAAATATGAAATATTTATCAATCCAATATGTCTCACTTTTATTAAAGCTTCGTCAGAAACTAAAAGATGGAGGAAAAGAGGAAATAAATTCTGGTATTTTTACTTATGTGTTATTTGACTCTGATTTGTCAATGCAGGTGAATTCTTGTTGTTGACGAGGTGATTAGAAGTTTTAATTTTTTATAGAAGATAATTTATATACATAAATAATTATGTATAAATATTCTATTTTGTGTATGTTGGCATCGGATAATAATGTATATTTTTAATTGGGTGCTTGCTCGTATGTATAGTAGACGTTGGGTTTTTTTATGTTGATTTACGAATGATTTTTACGTACATACCGTTTGTTTTAGGTAAACATACGTTAGATTCTTTAACCTATTAAAATTCGAAAACAAATCCGGAATTCGACTAATAAAATATCACCTTACTAGATCCACACTATACGAATTACCCAAAACACACAAATTCTACATACCCATACCCATCGTATCTGGAATCAACAGTGCACCCTACGAAATAGCTAAAGTTCGGCACCATCCACCCAACACACATTAAACCCTCTGATGACCTAATCCAGAAAAACGGAAAACTCGGTCACGCCTAGCTTAGATATCAAATGACTATATACAAATACACCCATCACAAGATGCCTCAGTATAATGTTTCCCAGTCAGACATTTAAATATAATGTCAATCATCATATTCTGTTTTCTTAATCCTTGTTACCTTTTCTCTTCTCTCCTTAATAGTAGTTTTTCTCATATTTTCTAACACTCAGTAACCCTTTGCATACTAGGAGCTTTATTGCCTTGCTTAGAGTGAAATAATTAAAATATGTTTAAAATCTCAAACTCCGTTCCTACTGCTATTAATGCATTACTCTTCAGTACGAATTGAGTTCTCCGGGCCACTGGCGTATTTCGTATAGAAAAAAACATTAAAGTTTCCCTTTGTCTCTGCCGTGCGAGTATAGTCTAGGGGTAGGATCTCTGACTCACGTCAAATCTATCTTGAAGCAATCCAACGTCTAGCCATAATGAAGAGCTGTGATACAACGAAACCGACTGTCTGTGGATGCCAACATATATATATATATATATATATATATATATATATATATATAGACTCGTTTCGAAAAACCCTCGAATTTTTTATTTGCTAATCAAATCAATCTCGAGGGACAAAAGGTTTTAAAAAAAGAAAGAGCTACAAACATGAACTTCTGCCGACAAAAAAATCGCACAGATGCAGGTCTGAAGCCCAAAGAAAAACCCCGATACGAGTAACAACTAACTAACAAAAAAGAGCTCAATACAACCGTAGAGCAGACCTAGATACACCTAGTGAGCCAGACAAACCTACCTAGGTTTCACTAAACTTTCCCTGACGATCCGTTTAGGTGAAACCTAGGTAGGTTTGTCTCAACTCACTAGGTGTATATATATATATATATATATATATATATATATATATATATATATATATATATATATTAAGACATATTTCTGTTTATACATTTTTTTAAAGATACAAATATTTAAGTAAATGCTGTGTTTATAATAAACAGTATTAACAAAATTTACCGACCTGCATGTCCGGGAAATTGTCATAGAAAATATGAGTCCTCCGACAGGAATCGAACCTGTATCCTATACGGAACCGTCATATAGCCTGACGTGCTTTTACCGATTTCGCAACAGAGGAACGTTCGATTAGCAAGGTCGATTTTACTGTTTTTAAACTATGATTCTCTCACGTACATTCATATCTGCTTAATGTTATCCAACTGTAAACAAATGACGTCACACATTATGAAAATGCACAAAGTCTGACAATTATTTTAAGACATTTTTATGTCTTAAAAAAAAAAATAGAATGTATAAACATAAAAATGTCTTAAAATAATTGTCGGACTTTGTCCATTTCATAATGTGTGACGTCACATATATATATATATATATATATATATATATATATATATATATATATATCTTTACACAAAGATATTTGTGTGCACATAAAATGGCCATCTCATTGATTTTTCTGTTTATTGGGCATATTTTAAAACAATTGCACGTTGTCATTATACTTATATACGTACGTTTAGACAAGGATAGACAGACAGATGGATAAAGAGAGAGAGAGAGAGAGAGAGAGAATGTGTAACCCTGAAGCCATATTATGCTTTAGCCTCAGTCACGTCCTGGCCAGTTTGTATAGATAGTGATAATTATTTTGGCCTTTTCTTCTTAAAACAAATCTTCTTATTTCACATACATTGAAAAGAAATACGTGTAAATCAGTAAACAAAAAAATCGCCTACCCATTGTACATTTCTTTCGTCAATATTCATGGCATTCTTTCTAATTTCTGTAGTGTTGAATCTTTTCTCTTGAAACGATCTCCAGATAACTTCGCATTTTGTGAAACTAATTTAAATTCTTCTATTGCTAGCAACGAATTCTCTGTTCCAGGCTATCTTAGTCTTTACCGAAAAGATTCTTGTATACATATTCATAGTATCGATGTATATACTTGGGAAAATTGCAAGGTAATTATCTCTTGAGTCCCCAGATGATTCTTTCATGGGCTTTCGTCTTTCGTTATTGCACGCTGTTATCTATCTCGTTTTCCTTTATCGTTCTCCTTCTCCTCAGGACTGTAATATATTAAACAAACATTTCAGATAATATCCAAATGGCTTTTTCTCTACATCCATCTGCGAATATTTCTGCGTTTGGTGATTTTCATTCTCATCACGTCAATTGGCTGAAGCATTCTAATATTACTATTATTGCTGGTATTCAAACATTCAAATTTTTCATTGCTCAATCTCTCAGTTAAATTGTAGATTTCCCTACTCGCGTCCATTATAAATCTGTTTAACATTCTTCTTTACATTAATTTGTTACTTACCACCTCTCCTAACTCTTGTCGAGCGTCACAACTCTGTCCTCTTGGCAATTCGGATCAGGCTATCTATTGAAATTTCTTTTGAATCGATTATTAGAAAGGAAGTTCCTATTCACAAGACTTTTTTCTGTTGCCAATCTACTGAGTGGGATTAATCTTATGACCTTATTTATAACGCCTCTTGGACTGATATTCTTAACCTTCCTATTGAGAAGTGTAACGCAGAGGTTTCTTCTTGGGTTAAAGCCGGCATTGATACTTTTGTACCTTATCGCAGATATCAGTTGCAACAACAGCCTTCTCTTTGATTCACATCAGCCTTTTCAGTCGCTATAGCCCATAGGAATCACTTTTACCGGGAGTACCAACGTAATAATTCCGCTCACAACACACGACTATTAATGACTGATCGAAATAATTGTAAAGGTATCCTCAAAGAGGGTAAGTCTTTGTTTGCTGATAGAATGAGGCACTGTATAGCCTTGAACAAGTTTGGTTCACGTGATAACTGGTGGCTCTCTAATAGTGTGTTAAATAAGAGAGTAAGCTTTCTGTCCTTCCTCTCTTCACTCAATTTGAGATGTTAACATCTAATAAAGCAGAATGTTTTGCTTGTAGTCTCTTTAAATTCCACTCTTGACTCATCTAGAGTATCTTTACCTGACTTTCCACTTAGAATTGAGCCTCTATTTTGTGATATGCATAGTTTTTGCTATCATTTCTAAACTGGAAACTCACAAAGTAGACTTGATGGTATCTATGCAATAGTTCTTAAGAAATGTGCTCCTGAACTGTCTCCTGTTTTCTCTAGACTCTACAATAAAAGTCTTTGTTCTTGCTTTCCTGTTTTTCGGAAATCCGCTTTTGTAGTTCCAGTCTTTAAAAACACAGGGAAACCATCTGATCATTCTAACTATCA